TTTTAGCCGGTGACTGATATATATTGCTGACTTTTAAAAGTAAAAGTCACTAGCTGATTTTTATTGATGACTTTTATAAATAAAAGTCTTCAATAACTGTTATCTAAGACATATAATATAAATACCCAAAATAATTGTTATTTTGAATTTATAATATAAAAATAATTGTTATTTTTTTTTAATTTTGCATAAAATTTGCAAATAAAAATTTATTTTCAAATTTGAGTCTCGGTGAAAAAATACATCGATTGGTATGTATCACTTAGTTGTAGAACATTTCCTTCATAGTGAATTTTTCCATGACAGTTTTTATCAATAACTCAATGTTCGGTCCCTGATGAATATGAAGAGGGTGTTCTAACTGAATTAGTACTTTTCGTGCCGAAACTGGGTCAAATTTGTCGGGTCGTCCCACACGTGAGTTCTTCCGACCAAGTTTTATTTTCCTTTTAGACGAAGTGTGTCTTAAAGCCATGTCCGCATCGTGATAAGAGTTGACGTCAAACAAGATGGTTCGCTTCCTCGAAAATGGGTAAGCTAATAGCCAGGGGCAAGCTTAATATTTCTCAAGACACACTTCTCTATACGACTCTGGCTATTAATTAGATCACCAAACTACAACCGGCAAATGTGGGTATTACAAAAAATGCGTAAACCTTTCCTAAAATATGATTCGTCTATTCGATAGAAGAAAACGGATTTAAAATTCACAGAGTAAATATAAGTTCAACAAATTCCAAAGACTGCGAGGGAGTGACGGATGCGATGGGAACTGCTGCCACCGCGCACTTTGAGGGGATACAAAGCATATCGGCACTGCAAAATGTCATCAAGAAGGAAGCCCTGCTTTTCACAGCAGCGAATGCCAGCCTTGCACCGCTATGTGTCAGCTTTGTTGATGGCTGTATTTCGAGTTACAACTTTGAACAGCACTTTAATATATTCCTTCCAAACAGCCTCAATTAGGAATGAGAATGACCTAGACCTCGGAAATGCATTCACATACATTGTTATGCTAACGACTCCAAGACCGATCAGAACTTGCAAGAGGGGGCACATCTCTCCCACTTTCGCAGCCCTGGAATGGCATGCCGCTCGCTACCTGAGATCTTATTTTTAAGGATACAAGTATCTCCTAAAAAATCGGTTGAATAGCATTCACTTGCTGATAAGAGGGGACTTGGCCCAGCCATGGACCTGCTAATAGCCATGTTGCTATCGGGAGGCATGCGGAGGGAACTGCTGCCACCGCGCACTTTGAGGGGATACAAAGCATATCGGCACTGCAAAATGTCATCAAGAAGGAAGCCCTGCTTTTCACAGCAGCGAATGCCAGCCTTGCACCACTATGTGTCAGGAGCTGTAGAAATGAAGGAAAGTCAGAAACCTTGCGGCACCTGCTGTGTGAATTTCTCGGACTCTGTAGAAGAAGACGATTATGGGTTCGGAATTTTTCTTCTAGCGTCTAACCGATATAGCCAAAATAGAAATCTGGCAACTTTTTAGTTTCGCACACTCCACGCGATGGTTTTATGCAGGTCGATGGTTTGAGTGACGATGCGCGTAACATCACAACGGACTCACAATTACGGGCGTAGGTGTGCTAGTTGGGTCACTGGAAGCCACTTTTGTTCAATTTCATATTTACAAGCAAGAAAGAGTAATATCAACAAGTACCCGTGCTTTTGGTGATGAAATCTTCTACTTCCTGCATAAAAATTACCCACACAACTAGCTCAAAAATTAGACTATCTACTTGGCTACCGTAGTACTTCAGCATATGTATATACTTAAACACAGGTTGTTTTGCCATAGACTCTCTTTGAATTTTCAAATATGCAAATTGTATTACTATTTTTAGTTTTGCTTTAGTTTTATATATATATTTTTTTTCTTTTTTTTCTGTTACATAATAAACCTTCGGTCAACCATTCTTTGCCAAATGGCCCGTTTCAGTCAAGCTAACTGATATTTAAAGCTCTTCTGACGACCGTTTTGGTTTGTGCTAACGCATAATCAGTTACAGCATAGCTAAATGCACTGATGTAAGCATACGCATGCGCGGAGGCAGCTTTACAATGCATCTTGGTTACCTAGCAGGAAAATCATCAACTACATAAGTAAACAACATTTTTTTCTATAGAAAGTCGACGCTGATGCCACAAATATAAACTGAGACTAGAAAGGACTAGATTGGAACTGGTTGTAAAAAGTTTTAAATAGAGTTCGCTTCAGAGATATGTAATTTGAGATTCATACAGTAAAATATAACGTAACGTTTAGCTAGATCATAATAAATAACAAAAAAGCTAGTTAACCGACGTAAAGGATTTCAGTCAAGATTTTTCACTCCAACAAAAACTAATGATAACTCAAACTTATAACCTCAATTTGATAATACGTTTACTTTGGTCAAAGATGATTATTTTTTTATTAAAATTGCTAAGAAAAGTGAAAACGAGTAAAATTTTAAGAAAAGTCGCTGTTATGCCAACAAATTTTTGTTTGGCAAATTAAGTGGCGGCTGCTTAGTTTGCTCGGAATTACCATGCGAATGTCGAACGAATGGTGCCTTCTCTAATATTTATCGGAAATATATCGAAATTTGACAGCCAAAACAAAAAAAAAAAAAAGAAACCAAGACGAATTATTGCCGTAATTAATAAAATAGTATTTTATAAAATATTGTCTATATATTAAAATGTTTGATGATAACTTAAATTTTTTCTCCTTCTGCGATATTTGCAGTAGCAAAAATAGTAATGAATAGCAAAGAACAAAAACAAGAAGTAGAGTGAAAACGTCGTATTACATGGTCTCCTTTGTACATATGAGCATTTCCAGAGGAAGTTATACCGTAAAAAAATAAATAAACCGATATATCTAACTTATTTATGGGCCAATTTGACTGCCTTTTATAATATATACTGGTTATGGAAGTAGAAACATTTTTTGCGAAAAATGTTCACGCTAGGTGGCGCCAGGGTCGCTATTTTGAAAAGGCATATTTTCATATGTATATCGATTTGTTGCAAATTTGGCATATGCAGTTGAAACATAGTAAGTCATAAATTTGCAAAAAATGTAACCTTATCCTTGAAAAAATGGCTATCAAGCGACTCTTAGCCTATACAGTCGCAATTAGAACGGCAGTTAAGAATTTTAAGTCAATTTTTTTCGGCGAATATTCATAGTTACATATATGTAAATACTCTAACATATTGTGCATGTCTAAGTGGTTCTTTGTGTCAGAATATCTTAGCGTACTACAAAAAATCATAAATACTTGCAGTCAAAAACTATTACAGTTCGAGTTAATGAAAATAAATTTCAGTCAGTTGCATGAAATGCAATTTTAAACACGCCGAGAGCATCAAATTACCAAACACATTGAAAGTCAGTGACAAGAACTCATTTCAATACATAAAAATATGCATATCGCTCGTTTGCTGGAAGAATGTCATATTTCAAAAACTAACAAAAAAAAGATCGAGAAAAATTTTAATGAATATAAGCCCTCGATATGAAGTAGAATGTTGGCATAAATAGGACGATTAAAAAACTTTTGTAAAAATAGTTAATGTTGAAATGCTGTATCCCACTTCACAAACCCGACCAAAGTCGGTGGGAACATTGCATAGAGCCTAACCAAGAAATCTGCAAATTTTTGAATTATTAAAAAAAAAAAATATTTGGCTTGGTTTGACTGTTATTATTTGACTGAACAAATAAAAGTCAACTGTTTTATGTAATTTTGTAACAAAAAATTTTACAGTCGAGAATATTTTTTTTTTTAACTTTTATTATAAAAGTTATAACTGGTTGGGTCGCTGAAATAAAAAGGCCCACTTTTCATATAACAGTAATGTACAGAAATATGATAACTGTGATAAATCAGCAACTTCAGAAGCTAATTCACCCAAAATCGTTGTTTGCAATTTACTCTTAGCAGAAAATGGGGGCGTTAAAAATTTTTGGAAAATGGGCGTCCGATTTATCAATATCTGGCCTTTGGTACAGAGAAGGAATATGTGGAACATTTTTAAAAGCAGACTAAAACCACGCCTACTTCTCATATAGCGGTAAATCAGGGCCGGTACTAAATGCAGTAACTCAAACAAGTGATCACATGCTGATTTTTTTAAATATTCACAATGTTTTTTAGGTAAATTTGTTTGTTGTTATTTTTTATAAAAACACTATCCAAGATTTAAGCGAAACTATATAAATCAAAGTTTCAGACTTTATACAAAAAATAAGGAACATTTTAAAAATTTTCGTCAAAATTTAAAATTTTTTAATTGGGTATGCGTTTTTATAGCCCATAAAATTTTAGTCTAATGAAGTCAAGTTTCTAGCGGCTGAAAAATCGTGTCCATTTAATTTTTTTATTAACGGATTTTTGCGCTTTTATCCATATAAGGCCCGTATGCAACTCTAAAGAAAACGGTCAAGAAAAAATTGCCATTATTTCGTGTGTGTGTCCAAGGAATTTTGACATCTGAGCCTGTTGCCTCACTCTTTCCTCAAGAAATAATGGAACGGGCATATATTTCTGTTGCAAACCTGCACAGAGAAATATTCGTTTTCAAATTTGTATGGAACGTTTTACTTTTAAAAACGTTTTGACCCAGGTTTTGCACCTACAATATTTATTTAAATTTTGAGAACGAAAATTTTCAATTCAATTTCCAATATCCATGTTCTGGTTTTTGATACGAATATTTTCAAATCGTTTTTAAAAACGATAGTGTGATAATTGAATATGCGCATGTTGAAATTAAATCCTGAAATGTTTTTTCTTCATTTTAAAAATATGAGTTTTCGAATATGATATTCAAATTTTATTTTTATTAAATCACAACAAGTCGTTTGGTGCACACATTGTCAAAAATATATTGATATACATATACTTATAAATAAGTTACAACATTTAATAAATGAAATACAGATGTTTTGCATATTACTATATACATACATACAGATGTTCTTGTTTCTTCCAAGCTGGGCCTGCTAATTTTGCTTCACGCTGGTCAAATCCTGTAATTTAAATTAAGACAATTTTAAATTATTATTTAATAACCCATAAGAATTTGTTTTTGTAAGTTACTCTTACCAAAGCTTTTTTCGGTCAAAGAAGTCCACCAATGTCCCTTATATGTAGTTAGGGGTTAGAATGGCAGTATTGTTTGTATAACTTCATCGCCTTTTCTGAAGATTGAAGTAACTTATTTATCTGAACACAAATTTTCCGACAAATGATGCAAACATATGAAAGTTTTTCATTATAGCTAGGTAGCTTTTTAAAGTCTAATGCAAAACATTTTATTTTTAAATATTTTTCATACCTAATTGACTGAAAATAAATTAACCTTTTTATTTTAAAAATGTCTAGTTTTTTTTTGCTTGTTGAAAATTGTGTCGCTGTACAACTTGTTGGGAAAATATTCTAAAATGTTTCATTTAAGTTTTTAAAATACGCTCTTTTGACGCTATTTCTTTAATGTCGTTTGTTCTCCTCAGTAAAAAAAAGTTAATATATTATAACGACCGTTTTTGTTTTACGAATGTCTCGTTTTAAAGTCATAAGTACAAATACTGTATTTTTTATTTTGTATGAAGTAAAATTATATCAAAAAATTTTATTTTACAATTTGTTTTAATAACTTGCATTTTACCTGTATCATTTTCTCTGTGTGGGTTGCCTTGTGCTCTTTTTTCAAACAAAAAAAAAAACTTTAGATAACCATAGTAGAAAGCGTAGCAAATTTCTTAAGAACTGCGTACTGCCTTAAAGAAATTTGACTCAAGAAAATTTCTTAGTTATTTCGTGTATGCCATTTTATATGGAGTTTTTGCTTCTCTTGAGAGCTGTATTCTGGTCTATATGCATGAATTTCTTATGAAATAAACACCCAACAGTCTTTTTTGCCCTTTTTGGCTAAAATAAATTCCAAATTCAGATTCCTCGGACCCCAAAACCTCTAGAAAGGCCTTTTGATGTTATAGATATTGTTGCATTTAAATCAATTTTAATTATTTTAAAAGCTGATCTGTGACCACCAACTTCAAAAAAAAAAAAAAAAACTAACATCGCCATCCTGGGAAAACTGAAAAATTTGTTTTCTATATAAAACCTGGATAGTTTCAAATATGATTGTTAAGCAATAGATGAGGCTTTGATCAAAACCTAATATCTCGGACGGACTGAAAAAAAATTTCCGACTAGTGTTTCCGTCATTGGTACTTTCAAATTTTGGCTTGGGTATATCAGACATAAGGCCCCGTTTCTTTCTGTAATCATCTTACTATTTTATTTAGTAAAGTTACAGGTTACTTCAGAAAACGGCCCTCAGTGGAAAAAATCATCGAGAGGAAACAGCCAGGAGTATAACAAAAACATTTGCTTTTTCAAAGTTTGGTAAAAATAATGTTGTAAAAGTAGTCGTAATTCGTTTTTATTAAAGCTAAATAGTTAGACAAGTATTTAAGTTCGGAGTGACTAATAATTTTTCGATATTAAACACAAACCAATTTTTTGTTTCTTTAATTATGACTTTCTTCCAGTAAACGAGCTGTATGGCTGCTAACACCAAAGTACATTCATATTTCATAAATGGCTATTTAAGAGCAAGAGTCATATACCGTCAAGCAACAAAATAAGAATAGTGTATCAGAGGCTGGAGGCTATGCCCAAAGCAACAACACGTACATACATAGCTAACCTACTAACGAGGTAGGTGGCACACAAACTCATACGAATACGACATTTACAAACTTGCTGATATTAGCATTAAAAGTGTTGAGTGGTTGCTGTTACTGTTGTCGACTGAATGGAGGCAACATGCAAATACATTAGTCGCGGCTGCTCAGATGACAAGGTTCACTGTACTACTGATGACGGCTGATTGTTGGCTAGTGTTGGCTAGTATTGGCTGACTTGTTGCTTTTACAAATGTTGTTGCTATTGTAATTGCCGTCACAACGTGTCATAATTCGACAACAAACTGTTGCACGGCATTGTAATGCAATCTGCCACCAACAAAGCCAGTAGCAACACCACAAGCTGTTTATATGTATGTATGTATGTATATACAATGTTTATGCCACATATTTAGTTTATAAGTATTTGCATTGCCCAAGCAACTGGGTTTTGCATGTTCTACAACGATAATAACAAATCAACAAACTGCAATTGTAATACAAAACACCAAATAAATGTTTATATGTGCGAATATATGTACATAAGTGTGGTGTTTAACAGGTGTTTGGCGCTGCATTGGTTGCCATTCCAAATGCAAAACACAAACAAAACTTGATGACCAATAAAAATTGCAAAACCAAAACAATAAAAAAATACAGTGTAACTAAAACACTTAGTTTACGAAAAAAAAAACGAACACGCGAGAAGTAAATTGTTCAGCTTTGAAAATGATACTTATTATTGTATTACAAATTTACATATAAACATACATACATATGTATGCAGATACGCGTATAAGTTCATATCTGAGTTTTTGTATCATTGAACGGGTCCACAGACAGGCTGCGCTAGGTTTAGTTGGTTGTATACGAATTAGTTTAGGAGGAATGATTTTTTTTTTCAATTTTATCATACTCTAAAATAAAATTGTCAATCGCATGTAGGAATATTTTCAAAATTATAAAAGTTTATATGCCCACAAAAGCTTTATAATAATATATTATTTAAAAAAATCGGTGACGGCGAAATTTTCGTGATACACTTGACTTACGTACGTTACTAAATAATCAAATCATTTTAGACTATTCCCTTATTAATTTATACATTTTATTTGGTACCTTCAATATATTCGACCAGTCTTTATCTTATCAGAATACAATTTTAACACACCCAATCAAAATGAGTGGTGTGGTGTGATTATCATTCAGGATAAAAAGAACTTTTTAGGACTTTTACTTACCAGCAAAACGTTTAGCTTCCGATTGACATGGTGGACGTTGGAGGTCTGCTTAGAGCAGTAATACAAATGAACTTTTGAATACTTCTCAGTCATTTCCAGGATCTAGAAGCAACACCCAAGTCACATGAAAATATTTTCTGTTTAAATTTATGAGAGCTGCAAATCAAATTTTTTATCGTCACCTGAGTGGAAGATCGACCTATCTCAGAAAACTTTTCAAGAAAGCCCTACTTCAGAATTTGATTGAAGAACGCCCTGTTTCAGAATTTTATTGAAAAGGATGTTGTTGAAGAATGCGCTATCTCAGAACTTGGTTAAAAACGCCTTATCTTTGCTGCAAATATATTGAAAATTTGCTGATATATGACGGTTTTGAATCGGCAGCTGAGATATGGCTTCTTTGAACCGAATTCTGAGATAGGGAGTCCTTCAAACAAATTCTTAGATAGGGTGTTTTTTTACAAAATTCTCAAATAGGGCGTTCTTGAAAAGTTTTCTGATATAGGGCGTTTTCGAACTGGCTGCCGAGATAGGTCGATCTGCCACTCAGGTGCCTATATGTACTCGCAAAATAATCTGAGTAGGTGAACATTTTAAAACGTTAATTACAACTTTTTCTAGTACTGTTAAGGTGCAAATATTTAAAGATCCTTTTTATTTCAAAACCTATATAGTTAATTTCTCACCAACCCTGAATTTACCGCAACCAAATTTACCACACATTAACTCACCACACATGAAAATTAGAGCTATTGGAAAAGGGGGAGTGGCGCCTCCTATACAAACCGAATTTTTCATACTGCATATCCCTGGAAGTGTTCATGGTAAAGTACTGAATCGCATGGAGATATGTATGTATATGAAATTAAGCCAGTACTCATGGAGAAATTCGGGGCTATTTGAAAAGGGGTCGCGAGGCCTAAAAACGTACCATCTTTTTGCTATCTTTGAATGTATTTATAATTCTTCTGTAAGTGTTTTTGTGATTGACATCCTCCTAAATTGGTGTCCTGAATTTAACGAAGGTTTTTCGTGTGTTTGAGTCGGTACGTGAATGGTTTAGTTTCACCGCCAGTTGGCGCTGTAGTTGAGTTATTACTAAAAATCGTATTTATTATCCGATTTGGATAATATTTTAAATATGTATTGGTAATGGTAAGAGCAATACTATTGCAAATCCTGCTGCCAAGTGGCACTGGAGTCGAATTTTTACTAAAAATCTCCAAGTGAGAAAAGGTGCCGTGAATGTCAAATTAAATCTACCTGTTACACCATTGAGTATATCGAACTCTCCTGTGTTACGATTGGCCAAATGGATGTGATTTTCCTATATTATTATGCGTTCAAGCTTTTAAGGTATTTTGTCTGAAATAAGTATATGTATATTATATTTCTGTGGAACAATGATACGCACCCATTTTGAAATTTCCACCAACTATACTATAAAGCTCATCCACTATAGAACCGGATTATTGTTGCCGCCAGGGAGTGAAGAGGAAAAAGTTCTTCAAATTTATTTCGTTTTGCGATTAACCTTGATATGAAATGATGCAAAATTGGAGAATTTCAAGAACTTCTTCACTTTCGCTAGGTTATTTAAAGCGGCAAATTACTACCAAACCATAGTCTTAGCAGATGATTGTGCCAATGAATAGTGTAAACGTAAATTGGTGAAAACGTTGGACCAAAAAGTTTCAATAAAAAAATTTATTTTGGGATGAAGTTCGCAGGGTCTAGTAGTGATTTGATATAATTTGAAATGATCTGACAAATAACACTAGATGACGTCACATGATATGGCATCATATGATATGATATTACATGACATGATATCACATGATATCACATGACATCACATAAAATCAAATTTATAACGTGAGATGACATGACATCCTATCACATCATATCACATGAAATCATATTACATTACATCATATAACATCGCATTACCCGACACCATATCACAAAAACATCTTATCACATAATTTCACCTCACCTCATCTCATCTCACCCCAGCTTATCGATGTAATTTAGTCCTCTTCAGGCTATTTCCTTTTTTCAAACCTAAAAATTTTTACTATGCCAGAAAGGTCTGAGATGGGATATTTTGAATTTGTGAAAATCGCCCATTAATCAAGTCGGTAAGTGTACATCTTTCACATGGTTAAGATGATCGCTAGGTGAAATACGAGTCAGTCAATCAAGAAAAGGACCTGCTAAGCTAACTTTCAAAAATACCGCATAAGTGCTTTAAGTTCAGAAAGTGCAGTACTATAAATAC